CACTGGCCCAGAGGGGAGTTCTGATCCAGGCCTTTGGAGCTGGTGAGATTCCTCCTGGAAAATAAACCCCCATGATCCCAAAGCTGATCATGTGAGCCCCAGCAGGGTGGCACACGGTGGTTTTGGCCTGGCAAGGACAGCCCTGATCCTGCCCAGCTCCCACGGACACTGTGGACTACCAGGAGCGGGAGTCTCATAGTCCGGTCAGTCACCCGGGCAGGACAGTGGCATCACTCCCACATGACAGCTGGACTTTCCCCTCTCGACAGCAAAAAGAGCAAAATTCGGTGTGCCCTGAGGGTGGCTGCAGGGTGGCACCGCGGTTTGCGGGGGCAGAGGTGGTGGGACGTGCCCGGTGTTCCCAGCAGGGTCACGGGGCGGGTGCAGCGTGGGATGGGCAGCTCTCAGGGTGCAGGGCTGGCTCTCACCCGGGGCTGCAGGGGCTCCCTCTGCTTTCTCCTGAATGCAGCCGCTGCTCTGAGCGCTGCTCACGACCCTCAGCCCCCAGCAGACCCTGCCGAAGCCCCCTCCCCAGGCTGCTCAGGAAGGAATGAGCTCACCCATCCATCCCACCCTGMCACCCACAGCTCACCCAGGAGAGCCTCCTCCTCCTCCTCTTCCTCGGATGCAGAGCTGCTGTGCTCCCTCCAGAATATATTGGGGGTCTCTGCTCCCACAGCCCCACTTTTTGGGTGAAAATACAGCCGGTTCTCTACCCATCCTGCTTCCCACAGCCCCACAAGCCAGCACTTCCCACCTTTCCAAGGAAGGAGCAGGAAGGAGAGGGGCTGGATGGGAGTGGGGTTAATGCCCAGCTGACACCGGGCTGCCACACGGGCAGTGGCACCACCTTCTATTAATGTCCTACAATAATATTGTAAATAGTCACTGGAAATAACTGTATCCCATAAAAGCAGCAGCAGCCCGTGATTTGAGCCCGGCTCGCAACACTTGTTTTTAAGAGACGTTTCATGTCTCCTTTACAGATTAGATTTTAACCTGACAACCTTTTAACATTGTATTAAATTAGAAATTAACTTTGTATGACTGCTCACCGTATAATTGACCCACCCACAGGCTGAGTGCTGGGGAATATTTCAGATACCTTTCAGACAGCAAAGTTCCCAAGAAAATACTGAGCTTCCTCCTTGATCTAGAGCAGGGCTTTGCTATTAATTAGTATTTCTGATCAGGTGGCAGGAATGCTTTCTGTGGAGGGGGGACTGCCAGGGAGCTCCCCAGGGATGTGACGGAGGGAAGGAGATGGAGGGGACAGGGAATGCTGCGAACCCCTGACCCTGCCTCAGTATTTCGGTGCAATTTCCTGCAGCAGAAATTCCCAAGAAAGGCAAAATTCCAGCCTGGGAACTCACTGACACATGCACAGCTTCAAATGACATCGGAGCCCAGGGAGGGATGGGTGGCAATTGATGGGACAGTGTCAATGCCCAGGCACAGCCAGGGGTGGCCGTGTGTCCCCAGGGTCACGGGGACATGTGGCACGTCCCCCGGGCTGTATGGGCGGTGGGGAGCGGTTCCAGCACTGCCCTGGGCACGGTGGGGTTTGCCTGGGCACAGTTGGGGCACCGCCGTGTCCCTGCTCCAGCTCCGGTCACTCGTGTCACCCCAAGCTGTGCTGCCCTTTGCTCCCACCGGGGGAAAGGCATTTGGTGGGACAATCGAAACCTGTCCCCAGCAGCACCGAGCCGAGCGGGGACAAACCCGGTGACATCAGCCAGAGGAGTCTCACCCCGCTGGGCTGGCAGGACTCCTCAGTGCCTGCCCAAATTTAGTCGATTTTATCCAATGAATGTCATGGGACAGCGCGAGACTGAGCAGCCACGGGGACATGGGGACAGAGGGGACACTCTGGTGAGGTGAGGGGCACAGCTGGAGCCTCTCGTCCCTTCCCAGTTCGGTTCCCAGCAGCTCTGCCCCGGAGAGGGGCTCGGGCAGCCCCCGGGACCGGCGCTGCCGCAGACAAATGCTCGTCCCGGTGCCTTTTCCATCTGTGAAACAGGCCAAGCCGTGGATTCAATTATTTTTTTCCTAGCACACAAGCCACT